TTACCCAAATTTGGGGATGTCACCAACCCCTAGAACCCAGAAGTGATTCCTGCACCCAGTTTGGGGTGGGATGTTGAAGAGATGGAGATGTGAGGAGGTGTAACCCCCAATTTGACCCTAAAAACCATTGATCAGCCCAAGTTTTGCTGGTACAACCTTTCAAAACCACTTTTACCCAAATTTGGGGGTGTCACCAACCCTTGGAACCCAGACGTGATGCCTTCCCCCCGTTTGGGGTGTTGGAGGTGGATGGAGATCTGAGGAGGTGTAAACTCCAAACTGACCCTAAAAACCATTTATTAGCCCAAATTTTGCTGGCACAACCTTTCCAAACCCACTTTTACCCAAATTTGGGGGTGTCACCAACCCCTGGAACCCAGAGGTGATGCCTGCACCCAGTTTGGGGTGTGGTGCTGGAGGAGGACAGAGATCTGAGGATCACGAGCAGCAGTGGGAAAGCAGAAGCCACCAGTTCCCACAACAACTCGTCTCCCTGAGGAGCAAAAAAAAAAAGGCCTAAAACCGTGTTTCTGTCATTAAACTCAGCCTGGAGTCTAAACAGAGAGAGGCAAAAGCGACTGTTGAATGGGGATTTCCTGCTTGAAATTCGCTCTTCACAACAAAATCGCAGTTCAAAGTGACAAAGCCATTGTGAAACCCAGGCAGGTTAAATTGAGGTTTTTTTTTTCTCCTCTCATAACAATTTTTCCAGGTATTTTCTGCTTCTCATTGTCTCTGTCTCTTCCCATTTCACTCTCCCGTGGGAGAAACAAGAGTACTGAGGAGAAATATCTTCATAAAACACGCCCAAAATGCTGTCAGGGGGTGACACCAACTCAGCTGATCGAGGCAGAAGGAAATGTTTCTCCTCAAGTGTTTTAGGAACACCAGGCCTGGCTACACTTCCTGCTACAAAATCCTTAGGGGAGGGATTTTTGGGGGCAGAAATGCAGATTTTAGGCTGAGTGACGAGTGTCATAAATAAAGGTGGTTGTGAGTGAGGGAACAAAAAGCAGCAAGAGCTGGAAATGGAACTGCAAAAGGAATGGATTTCTGGGGTGGAGCAAGATCAGAAAGGAAACTAAACTTATTTTCCTTCTGCGTGAAAAGTGAAAAAAAAACCCAACAGTTTGGGTTGTAAAAGGTGGTTGTGCCTCGTCCAATCAGGGAATCATTTAGGTTGGAAAAGCCCTCGGAGATCATCGAGTCCAACCCAGCACTGCCAAAGGCCACCACTGCCCCGTGTCCCCAAGTGCCACATCCACAGGGCTTTGAAGTCCCTTAAGGGATGGGGACTCCACCCTGTGCCAGGGCTGGACAACCCTTTCCATGGAGATATTTTACCTGATATCCAACCTAAACCTCCCAAAATCAGTGAGTCCCTGAGGCTGGAAAAGCCCTCCCAGCCCATGGATCCCCCCTGTGCCCGATGCCCACCTTGTCCCCCAGCCCAGAGCACTGAGTGCCACGGCCAGGCCTTCCTGGGACACCTCCAGGGCTGGGCACTCCAAACCTCCCTGGGCAGCCCCTGACAAGGCCTCACCACCCTTTCCAGGGAGAAATTCCTCCTCCTGTCCCACCTGAGCCTCCCCTGGCCCAGCTGGAGGCCGTTCCCTCTCCTCCTGTCCCTTGTTCCCTGGGAGCAGAGCCCGACCCCCCTTGGGTCCCCCCTCCTGTCAGGGGGTTGCAGAGCCAGAAGGTCCCCCCTGAGCCTCCTTTGCTCCAGGCTGAGCCCCCACAGCTCCCTCAGCTGCTCCTGCTGCTCCAGCCCCTTCCCAGCTCCCTTCCCTTCCCTGCACACGCTCCAGTCCCTCAGTGTCTTTCTTTGAGAGGGTCCCAAAACTACCCAAGCACAGTCTCCAGAGACTCCAGTGCCAAGTTTCACCCATTCCTAATTCTTTGCTCCACCAGGAGCACACCCAGCACCGCCATCTTCCTCCAGCCTCTCCCAGTCTTCCCACCCTCACTGTGCCCTCCTGCACTAACCCAATTTTTGGCTTCACCAAATAAAATCCACCATCAGAAAACCCTAGTTTTTTAAAGGGCTCTTTTCTCACCCCCTCGTCCTCTGCAAACACCCCCAGGATTATTGATTTCCTGCCCTGCAGCAGCACCTCTTTGCTTAAACCTGCTCCCATTTTAAAAACTTCATAAAACATAATCCACAAAAATCATGTTGTCCTTTCTCCTCTGAGAGCAGAGCTGGTGCCTGGAGAGGATTTGGGGAAAATCCCTAAATATTGGGAACTGAGGGTCATTTATGTTCCCATCAGACCTTAGTGGTGTTTCCACCAGCACCTCCCTCTGGGATTGAAGATGATCCCCCACTTCTTTCCAAATTAAACCCTAAATCTCAGTGATCCAACAACACCAGCTCTGCTTCCT